TTGTACCTTTAGTTTCTAAATAAAATAAAGACTATTAAAAATTAATTCCTAACTTTTCCATTTTTTTTGTTTACCTAAATTATCTAATTTACTTACCTAAATTATTTCTTAAAAATACTTGACATCCGCATTCGCATCCGCAACCGCAGATGTTAGCTTTTAGACATCCGCATCCGCATCCGCATTCGCATCCGGGGATGTCTAAAATTCCACATTCGCAACATCCCTAACAAATACATACAGACGTATGCACCCTTGTAAGCCAGCACAAAAGTTTGTAATTTGGTTGAAACGAAAAGTGCAAAAATGCTGGTCGTAGGTACATTCATCTATGCAAAGATGTTCAGGTGCGTACATACGTACTCTTTGTGCAAACAGACACACATACATAGTTATATATGTAGATACTTCAGGAAGTAAATATGCCACTACATATTGGTACATGAAAACTGGGTTGTATTAAATTTTTGCATATTTTATTTTGACCAATAAAAGTTTATTTTACCACCTTTGTGACCCCCAAAAATGAATCTGTTGCTTTGAAATGTGAATTTATCTAAGTTTAGTTGTTGTATCAGAAGCCAACTTATTTCACTATACAAATGAAATGAATGCAATATTTTTTCTTTTAAGGGAAGCAACTGACAGGTTGAAAGGAATTTAAATCAAAAAGAGAATGGGAGTGAAGTGATGTTTATGCTCAATTTGCGTGCACAATTTAGCGAAATATTAAACTTTTTTTTATAAATTCTTCATTACGCCGAGAAAGCTCTTGGGAAGGAAACAATTTAAAGTAACAGGTATATGAAAAAGTTGTACCTATATTTGTGAGTGCGCTAAAAAACTCACCGAATTTAGACGTAAAGCAGTATATCTTTATGACCTTAAAATTAGTAGTAACGGACTAAGGCTAATCGATTTCGTCGCGGCTCGAGACTTGGAAGGTAAAGTAATGTTAAGATAACGACAGCCAAAGGTGGAGGCATACTTATACTGTTGAACCAACTATCCTTATTGCTGCCATAACGAGAAGGTCAGGATACGAAGAAATGGGAGAAGGCAGTGACCATAGCTGGACAGGGATTTAAAGCAGTACGAAGAAAAGTTGCAGTCATAACAGACTGCCAGCATATTCCCTACTAGACTCTCACACCTGTTCTCTAAGGGTACTTTTCAAAATACATGCAAGAAGGAAAGCTACACGTCCCGACAACTGCACATTGTACATTAACGTGAGTTAGGCAGAGTTCAGCCACGTACGTTGTTGCACGCACTCGACGCGAAAGGTACGATATCATTGTCAATGATGTTCCATGATATGCTTGGTAAATTAAAATCACTCAACACAATCATTGAATCACAGGGTTTAGTCAGTAAATTAACTGATTTCAGTAAAGAGATGAGTCGTGAATACACCAATGTGTCAGATCGGGGAGGGATATAGCATAGAGCTAAGTAAATAGACCCTTTTCCAGCCTGTACACGAATGCATTTGAATTCTACTGAATCGATGTGTGGAAAACTAACTTCTTCAGATGGTATTGAAGAGTCTACAGCGAAGAGTACGCCACCGCCGATTCTGTCCTCCCTATCTTGTCTATAGATATGATAATTATTTGGAAGAATCTCTGAATTGAAAATGTGAGGTTTCAGCTAAGTTTCAGTAAAAGAAAGGATATTATAACTAAATTCAAGGCCTTTAAGGTATAAGTTCGTTAATTTTGCATTTTAGTCTCTTACATTTTGGTAATAAATACTTAAAGCAGATTTAATAATAAGTTTTTTGATTCAGCGTTATGACGGGGAATATTAGCTAAGTTAACTTATATTATACTCAAAGTCTTTCTAAGACACCAAACTAAAAGGCTAGAAATTGACCAGACGCCATATTGGATCCGCCATTTTGAATTTTCCAATTCTGACAGTGGATTTCTTTGCCACACTGGTTAGAAAATCTGAAAATCCGGCGCATACACACAAATAAATTCAAGGTCGTATTTCTGCTTAAATTTCTCCACTTCGACTATTTGTATGCAATTGCATTAGGTGGGGTATAAATTTATTCGGAACTAAATCGTCACTAGACGCGAAAAAAGTCGCGAGCTCAAAAGTTGACAGCGAAACAAGGCGCAAAAAAAACTTTAGCGAAGGAAGACTCTGAACATAGTTGCAAGCGAAAAAGGAGGCGTTAAAGTATTTGACGGCGAAGAAAGATGCGTAAACTTATTTTCGCGGTTAACTATGTTTGCGTAAGGAGTTTTTGGGGAATGATGATGAAGTGACAGTCCTTGTCCAGGTATGAATCTATGTTTACGCGTCTCTCTTCGCCGAAGTTTTTCTTAAGCGTATTTTTTCGTAAAATTTTTTTTGGCGTCTTTTTCGCCGTCAAAACACTAGCGCGCCCTTATTCGTGTATAGTGACCATATGTATACTTAAGTACACTCGCGTAAGTTGTAAATAGGAAAATCGTTTCTAGGAGGGGGCACAGAAACACAGTTTTAGCCCTTATTGAGTAAGTCCTTGAGAATGGCTTCACTTAGGATAGCCTACCTAAATTATCTTCTGGTTATGCATATATGTACCTAATGGAAAAAATGGTCATGGAGCGCAATGTAGAATATGTATTGCTAGATAAGAATGAAAGGTTGCTAATGGCTATGAGAATTTTTTCCTCTCCTGAACAATTTTTAAATTGGGACAACTTTTCACTCTAAGCTAGCGATATGAGAAAATTTTCTAATGAATCCAAGGCAAGTAGTTAATACCACGTTAAAGGCGACAAATATGTTTCCAAGTTCCGCGAATAGTAAAGACAATATTATTAACAAAATTCCAAAAGGTTAGGGTTTCATACACAATCATTCACCTCTGCGGATTGTGCCACAAAACAACATTGCTTATCATACCACAAATTACTTCAAAATAATGCAACGCCAGAACCAAAGCATCTGTACTTAAGTATGTATCAGGAAAATATTGACACCATTTTCGCTTGAATCTTCGTTTTTGATTTAGATGACAAGTGTCATGGTCGATTGAATTCAGGCTTATGACAGGCCTAATCTAAAAGTACATTTCGCCATTACTCTCGAATAAGGGCGCGCTAGTGTTTTGACGGCGAAAGAAGACGCGTAAACATAGATTTATACCTGGACAAGGACTGTCACTTTAGCATCATTCCCCAAAAACTCTTTAGGGATACTAAAAACTGTTACCCTCGGAAACATAGTTAACCGCGAGAATAAGTTTACGCGTCTTTCTTCGCCGTCAAATATTTTAACGCGTACGAGAAAGAAGTGACTTTCAGCAGGCCTTTTGGACGAAATTTTACCTCCTAATATTATCTACTGGATAGTATTTATCACCCCTCAGCTGTGTACATGTCCAGGAACATGCCCTTTTTTGACATTTGTCTGAAGATATAAAGAACGATAAAAAAAACTAAACAAAAACAATGTAAGCTCGCCAGATATTATTCAACATATTTATTAGAAAAAACGTTCCGTTGTCGATTTCCGATTTCTAATATCAAAAAGCTTAACCCTTTTTTAATAGCGAACATCTGCAAAAAATGAAATTGGTGTCTGCGTTGACCTTCATTAAATAACCAGGACAATTTAAGTATGGACCAGGACACCAGGACAATTTGTCTAAAACCAGGAAAATCTTGGAAAACTTGGGTGTATATGAGCCCTATTTTATTTAGATACTACATATTTGGTAACTTTTATAGAAATTTTTGAAATTAGCGATGGTCAAGTTTAATTTTTCTTTTTAGAAAAATAGGGGTTTTTAATTTTAACCGAAGCTTAGTCTAGAAATATATTGTTATACACAGGGTTGCCACGAAACGACGAAAACAATACTACCATCCACTTGAAAAAAATCTACGAAACCCTAAAAATATCTACCAATAACTTTGTTAATAGATATGTAAGTGCACCCAGTCATAAAATAACGTTTTTTTTTTTTTAATTAAAAAATGGAGTGTCAGGAAACACAAGAAACCTATTTTCATGTTGTACTCGACCCAACCTACAATTGAAATTTTTAGTTAAATGAGTGGGCCTTAAACAATTTTGTTTATTTACACATTTAGCTTAAATTCTAATTCAATTTAATTTCAGTACTCAACTTAATTTACAATTTACAATTAGCTGTATAAATCTTATTTATCTTATCATTACACTTTATTTCAGTTTCACACACTTTAAACTGTTGCTCTGCTAAGTGCTAACGGTCAACCATACTGACATAAAATGTCCGCAGAATACTGTGCCTCTAAGCTTTTACGGAATGGAAAGGAGCAGGAAATGAAAAAGATACACTGACATTTGAATAATTAAAGTTGCTACAACACAACGGCATTAAGCTCGTTCTTGTCCAAACTTAATTTTATTTTCAAATACATTTTAGTCAGCGTCTACAAACTATTAGGGTGGTGCAAAAATGCATGTGGAAAAGTAAAATCGGAATTTGTATGCTCTCACCACCCCCTAGGATTGTTCTATACTGAAAAGGGTATACCCCTATTTTTGTATTTTGAAATCAAAAGATATTTAGAGGTCGCTCAAAGCGTCCAAAGTTTTCCATATATTTTATATGGGGAAAAAACCACCTTTCGTATAAATGGTCCAGAATTCTTAAAAATCAATATTTTTCCAACGAAAAACTTTGTTTCTCTGCAGGAAATTTCCAGTAATAATATCCAATTTTTTATTTAGTGCCAGTGAACCAGAGCTTTCGGATCGAAAAATATCGATTTCAAGAATTCTATACCATTTCTACGAAAGTTTTTTTTTTTCCATATAAAAATACCTGGATACCTTTGAGCGCTTTGAGCGACCTCTAAATATTCTTTGATTTCAAAATAAAAAAGATGTGGTATACTTTTTTCGATAAAGAAAAGTCCTAGGGAGTGAGAGCATTAAATTCCGACTTTACTAGTTTTGAACCACCCTAATATACATACATATATACTATATATAGCAACACTTACTTATGACAGTTAAATTCACTTTCGAGTTGCGCGTCGGACTCTTTTGAAAGTCGACTCGACAACGGTACTCGCCAGTATCCTCCGGCCGCGTTTTCGCAATTTCCAATGTTCCTGTACCTCCTTCCACGGTGAAGGACAAACGATCGCGATAAAATTCATCGGACCAGTGAGTGCCTTCCGTGTAGCTCGAGTCGCGCGTATCGACGCTGTAAGCAAAGAAGAAAAGAAGAATAAAACAACGGTTTACAAAAACTGTGATAAACAAAAGTTCGTGTGATATAATTCTCTCGTAATATTGAAATAGATATATTAAAATGAAATGGATTAAAAAATGACCAAAATATACTCATCAACGTTTCACTCAACTCGACGCAGCTACTTTCTTGGAAAAGGCTACTTCAGTAAATGTGAGAAAACAAGAAGAAACAAGTAAAAACCCCTAAGTTCGGGTGGAACCGAACATTAGACACCTGGCGCAATTATTAAATATAGTTTTCTTCACCTTTCCGAAAACTACCGCTAGGTGGTAAGCAGGGTTGATTTTATCCCTATTTCAAAAATCTTCGATAAACTTATATATTTATANCAATTTTTAATAAATTAGCTAGAGTTAATATTTACTGATTTATCGAAGATTTCGTATTTCTCTATATAACCGTTACATGGGATGTGGACTTGATTATTGTTTGAATTTAAATATTTGGTGAATGGATAATCGATTGACTACAGAATTTTGCTAAAGAAAAAATTCACTACAAGGTAAGACTCTTTCTTTGGTAGACTAACAGCTGAGCTGGTAGCTGATTACTGCCGTGCTGTCCTGGTTGACTGCTGTGACCGCCAAAGTTGTGCGCTCTATTATTGCAGCCCAGTGGCTCGCTATCTGCTGCAAAGTACCTAAGTAGCTACAGAACTTTTACTTTAAATCAATTAAAATGCCAAGAAGCTTAATTGGAATTCATCGAAAATGCGAAAGCGCGTACAGAATAGTTTTGCAGCTCATTAGCGGGTGACGTCCTCGTAGATGATGGTAATAAAATATCAAAAGTGGGCAGCAGTAAGAGGGTGAGTTTTAAAGCATGAAGCAAAAATTCACAGGCACGCGTTACAGAGGAGGAGAAAACAAAAAACTAAACGCATACTACAATGCACCAAAGTTTTGACAAAGTGACAAGTTGTGAAATAGCGAAATGGGGCATTTTATTGTTGTTCTTGGAAGCGCTGGAAGTCATCAGGGGCCAGAGGGTGTTTTGGTATGCAAAGTGACAGTGGTGGTTAAGTTTGTGATGTGATGATAAAATGCTGAGTTCCAAACTGACTTATGGACGCGCAGCTGAAAGGAATAAATGGCGAATAATAATGAACTGAGAGTCATGGTAAATTAATGAAACTAGCGAGGTGGGTGCAAAAAAATTAGTGTGCGAAAATTGTGACGAAACCAAGTAACACTTTATTTTACTCTGTGAAATTTCGTAGAAGTAATAAAGCTGTAGTAAAATGAAAGTAAAAGGTATTTAAGAGTATCGGTCTGAGAAGTTTCATAACATACTACAGAATTAATGTCTTGAATATGACTTGAACGATTTTTATACCAATTCTTGATTGTTACGGACACTAACAGGCCCATGATCAGTAGTGGTGACTCTGATAACCTTGCTCGATTAAGCTATTTTTACTATATTTGGGCCCTAGTTTCGCAAGTAAGTATATTGTTTCGTGTTTTTTTGTAGTCGGTCTAAAGCGGTCGGCGGCAAGGTAACAGCTGTTCAGTTACCGCAGTGAAATTCGTCCGAGCAAACACAATTGCGGCTGAGGACGGCTTCCGTTAACTGTCATTCTGATTTGGAAATTTTCATCAAAATATTTGTTTGGTACATAAAAATCGGTAAAAGTATTTGCAAATTTGTGAGATTAATAGAAATTATTGCAATCAACAATGTATCGCCCCCGCTGGGCGGTAAAAATTAAAATAAATTTAAATAAACCGAAAACCGTTGGCGGTAAAAATGCTGCTGCCGCAATTATGTACCATTCCATATGTCTTCGTGAGTTTTGATTTTGGACAGCGGTTAACCGTAGAGCTTGATGCGTCCTTCGGACAATGCTTCCGGAGACTTTTTCGGACTCTGCATGACTTACAACCATGCAGAGGCGGTAAATTAACTTTACCATTGGCCAAGGCGCATAACAGCCATTTTTGATCATATAATTTTTTTTGTTATAAATACATACATATGCACGATATTTTGATATTTTTTTGCTGCCGAGTTTTGCATAACTTTCCATATAAACATTTTCGAACATATGAACTTTTTAAGCAACTACACACTTGAGCTTTATACTAAAATTTAATGGGCTATACAACTGCATACCCACATTTTTTTCTATAAAGTCTAATTAAAAAGTTTGCAATGTAGATAAAATTTTTCTAAATTTTGCATAAAGTTTGAAATGTTGACTTAAGTAAGTATATGTTTATTTTATAGAATGAACTTGTTAAAATGTTGCAACCCTGTTTATTTGTCCGACAAAAAATTGCACTCACTTATTTATTTTACAATATTCACAATAATTTCATTATAAATACTATTTGGTAACCTATAATCAAACTATAGTTTATTATAAAACTGAAAGCGTATATATTAAAGTTTCTAGATTTGAACAGAATTCACAAAAAAATTTTTAAAAATTTTCATCAAAGCTTCAATCAGACCTTTTAGAACAATTCTTGTTACGCAGTTTTGTAGCCTACTCAATTTTAAACATTTAGATTAAGTATGAACTATTGTTTTATTAAAAATTACCGAAAAATATTTGTCATGAATAATATTGCGAATCTTATAAAATAGACCAGTGTGTGGAATTTTTTGACACTGACTATGTACATATGTACATATAATGGATAACAAATAACGAACTGTCAACGAACACTACATAGGACCAACTTTGTAGCAAAAATTACTGAATGCAGCCAAAAATGACGGATATGTGACGGAAGCGTGTCACTCAAGTGTACGTGGCGTATGAGTAACTTTCTTTTCTTAACTTCTTTATTTATCCCTCGCTTTCCTTCATTAGTAACTTGATTTTTTTTTGTAACTGAACAGGCTTTAGCACAAATGCAAAAATTTGGCACAGAACCTGTTATTTAAAAAATTTTTCTTCTGTTAAAGTTTGATTTTCTTTCCTTTTTTTTAATCAAAAATAAAAATAATCTGGAATGATTAGGTAATTAATTTGTCAAAAACTATGAGCCCTATCGCAAGCGAATTATACATGTTTTATGGTGAATTTTATACTTTTTGTTTTAAGCTGAATAACGGTAAATTACAAATATCTCGAAAACGTATCCATAGAAAAACAAACAAATTAACTCGATTTTCGGAATCCCCGAACAATTCTACATAGAAATTGGATAGTGGCATCCACTGAATATTTTTGCTGTAAACCAGTGGCGGTAACCCATATGCTAGTATCTGTTCGAGCATTCCCCCGATTTGTGGCGAGCGCCTTGATATTGTCACACAAAGGGAAGGGATCTCCATTTTTACGCCGACTTCGAACGGAAATTTTATTTTACGAGGGGCGAACGCTGCTGAAAAAAAACTTTTTTGGTTTTTTATATTGATTTGAACCGAGTTTTAAGCGAGGTCTTGCGTAAGGGTAACGTGCACTGCTAACCACTACACCCCAGCACCTGCCTGAGCTCGTTTCCATTCGATATGAAAACCAGACAACTTTTCTAAAAGTTGCAAATTACTGGTGTCTATCCACCTCAATATTTGCATTCTGTAACGCAAGAATTTTCCTGATTCTTCAGTAAAAATGGAATTTTTGGAACTTCTTGTTCTTGTATCATTATCATTAGTAGTTAAAAAAAAATTGTAATCGTTTAATGGGTTTTCTTTCCATTTGTTTTTTATACCTTTCATGAGCATGAAATGGTATTATAACTTTGGTCCGATGTTTGTAAGTACCAGAACAAAAAGAGATAGACCCATTAAAATGTATACTTATATGATCAGAACGTCGAGCTGAGTTGATTTAGCCATGTCCGTCTGTCCGTCTGTCCGTCTGTCTGTCTGTTTGTATGCAATCTAGTCTCTCAGTTTTCGAGATATCCGGATCAAATTTGGTAGGTGGGTGTATTTTTATAATGTATTAATCATTTGTCGGAACCGGAAGAATCGGACCACTATAACATATAGCTCCCATACAACTGATTGTTCAGATATGAGATTTTTCATTATAACTTCTCCATTTATGCAGCTACGAACATGAAATTTTGCAATACTTGCACCCATTATCAACAGAATACTTACAGTGAAAATTACAAAGATCGGGTCACTATAACCTATAGCTCCCATACAACTGATTGTTCAGATATAAAATTTTGCGTTATAACTCCTCCATTTATATAGCTAGGAACATGAAATTCCGCACTGTTTTCAATAATTATCAACAGAAAACTTACAGTGAAAATTAAAAAGATCGGATAACTATAACATATAGCTCCCATACAACTGATTGTTCAGATATGAGATTTTTCATTATAACTTCTCCATTTATGCAGCTACGAACATGAAATTTTGCAATACTTGCACCCATTATCAACAGAATACTTACAGTGAAAATTACAAAGATCGGGTCACTATAACCTATAGCTCCCATACAACTGATTGTTCAGATATAAAATTTTGCGTTATAACTCCTCCATTTATATAGCTAGGAACATGAAATTCCGCACTGTTTTCAATAATTATCAACAGAAAACTTACAGTGAAAATTAAAAAGATCGGGTAACTATAACCTATAGCTCCCATACAACTGATTGTTCAGATATGAGATTTTTCGTTATAATTCATCCATTTATGTAGCTAGGACCATGAAATTTCGCGCTGTTTTCACTCATTATCAACAGAAGACTTACAGCGAAAATAACAAAGATCGGGTCACTATAACCTGCAGCCCCCATACAACTGATTGTTCAGATATGAGGTCTTTTATCATAACTCCTCCATTTATGCAGCTAGGAACATGAAATTTCGCACCATTTTCACTCATTATTAACAGAATACTTACAGTGAAAATAACAAGGATCGGATGACTACAACATATATCTTCCATACATCTGATTGTTCAGATATGGGATTTTACTGTAAAACTCCTTTATTTGAACAGCTAAAACCGATAAATTTCGTAAGAT